CTTTTTCGAACTCCTTCCTCCTCCTCCTCCTCCTCCCCCGTTTCCCCCCCCCTCCTCCTCCTCCTTCTCCTTCAGTTGTCGTCCCTCTTCCCTCCTTCCCCGCTTCTCTGTGTGCTGCTAAGCACTACCAGATGTTGAGTTTTAACGCCAGGCTGTCATTTAATCTCCCTCTCTCTCTCTCTCTCTCACCTCCCTCTCTCTCCCCCCCCCCCCCCCCTCTTCCAAAAAAATCAGGCAGGAAGTGGGCCCCTCTGGAATGGAAAGAAAAAATATTGAAAAAATATTGAGGGGGAGGGATAAAAGAAAGAAGGAATGGAAGTAAGGAAAGGACTAGTACGAAGTTTCTTCAACCCTAATAAAAAAAAAAAAAAAAACGTCTTTTTTTTTACCGCAGAACGTGCCGTTAACTCTGGGATGATAAACTTTTGTATTTGATCAGCCGAGGGGTCGGGGGTCGGGGGTCGGGGAGGTGTAGGGCTCGATCCCCGTCGCTTTATTTAATTTGCACTTCCCTGTTTTCACAACAGCCAGAGAATTTCCTTAGGTTGAAACTTCCAGGTCTACCCTGGCAAAAACACACACATGACGAACGACTACATCTTGACCGACGCTGTAATGAGTTCCACATGTGCTCTGCCCCCCCCCCCTCTTCCCACTCTCGTTTCTCCCCCAATTCCTCCTGCCTCCCGTCATCCCTCACACTGCGTACCCCACCATTTCCCACCCCATTTTTTTTCCGATCCTGATTTCACCTTTTTACGCTGTAAACGAAAACCGAAATATCTCCTTTTTTTTGTTTTTTTAACAGGAGAAAGAGAAGAAGTACATGCTCCCCCTGGACAACCTGAAGGTCCGAGATGTGGAGAAGAGCTTCATGTCCAGCAAGCATATATTCTGCATTTTCAACACGGAGTCCAGGTCAGCCGTAAGGCCGCGACGCTTGTGCATATTCATACTGTTTACCCATGTAGCCGCAAACAGCAAAAAAAAGCGTGAGTTGTTTACCCATGTAGCCGCAAACAGCAAAGAACAAAAAAAAAATATTTAGTAATAAAATTACATTAGTTCCAAGTCTATTAGCGTGAGTCGAGTTATCCAGTTGTTCAGTTTGAAATTTGAGTCCACATTTAAATTAAAAAAAAAAAAAAAACACCCAACAATTATTCTCTTCAATGGATATCACATTAAATCAGTAGGGGGCGCAGTGAGGTGCCAGAGTGGGCGTGAGGGCCTCCCAGTAGAATATAGCACGCTGGACATAAGTGTACCACTGCTGTAATGCTTGGATGATAACAAGCCTCCAGTCACTAGGTGGCAGCAACTCATACAGTTGGTTTGTACAGATAAAAAATATACATAGTATATTATAGTATAGTATTTCAATTTGCGGGAGACTTTCCCAAATTGTATCATTTATTCATATTATCACTATACTTCTGCCTGTTTTTCCCCCTGCAATACCCACATTTCCCCAATAGAGGGTGTGGAAAATGATAAAACGCATTTTAGCATGTTAGCCTTTATGCGCGACTTTTACATGTCATTTACTGGATCTGGTAATTGGTCTGGATGCGATTCAAGAATGTGGACCACTCCATGACTCAAAGACACTCTTCCATATTGTCCTCTTGTGTCCACGGTATCTAGGAATGTGTACAAGGACAATCGTACCCTGGAGTTGGCCTGTGACACTCAGGACGATGTGGACAGCTGGAAGTCGTCTCTGCTCCGCGCTGGTGTCTATCCTGAGAAGACCATCACAGTTAGCGCTTTTTTTTTTTTTTTTTTTTAAATTAATCTCTCAGTGACCATACGGTGCGTTAAATTACAATTTCTGTGATTTTCTGTGATACTTTAAATCCTCTTTTTACAGGTTGAGAGCGAGACCACGTCCTCGGCGGACAACTTCTCCATGGATCCCCAGCTGGAACGTAAGGTGGAGACCATTCGTAACCTGGTGGACTCCTACATGGCTATCGTCAACAAGTGCATCCGAGACCTGATGCCCAAAACCATCATGCACCTCATGATCAACAACGTAAGAAATCTATGATGCCCAAAACCATCATGCACCTCATGATCAACAACGTAAGAAAACGATTTCGGCTTTGTCGACAGATCTAGATTGAGTCGATCGTGGCCTCCCAAGTCGCTGGTTGAATTCCCCCCCGCTTCCCGCCAACAGGTGAAGGACTTCATCAACGCCGAGCTCTTGGCACATCTGTACTCCGCGGGCGATCAAAACGCCCTGATGGACGAGTCGCAGGAGCAGGCCCAGAGGAGGGACGAGGTCCTGCGGACGCACCAGGCTCTCAAGGAGGCTCTGGCCATCATCGGCGATATCTCCACCTCCACCTTCACCGTTCCTCTGCCTCCCCCGGTGGACACGTCCTGGGTAGGAGGAGCCGGCGGGCGCAGGTAAATTAACAACTGAGAACACCGGGATTTGGCCCGCTGCTTCGCTGCTTCCTGTTGTTTTCCCCCAATCACTTCCGTTCAATGTCTCCCCTCTAGATCTCCTCCGCCCAGTCCCACTGCCCCGAGGAGGATGTCATCGGGACAGCGCCCAGCTCCGCGGGGGGCCCCGCCACCACCAAATCGCCCAGGACCCCTGGGGCCTTTTAATAACACGGCCGAAAGCCCTCAGGCTCCGAGTCGTCCGAACAGGGCTCCACCTAGCATCCCCAGGTAAGAACTTGCTCGTATTATCGGAATACTCGAGACGCTCGTGTCGAATTGCATTACTGTATGTTTTAAATTGCAATTTCCAAAAATTTTTTTTTATAACAACGCAGCCGGCGACCTCCTCCGTCTCCCACACGACAAGCTCCGCCCTAATCACCGGAGGAGGATGCGTCGCCGTCGCCGTCCCCTCTCTCCTTCGCCTCCTGCCGCCCGCCTCGCCCTCTTTTCTCTCTAGCCGTGGCTCTGCTGACCTGCTGTCTTTTTAGTGCGCACACCCGGGTCTTTGACCTCTCCGACCCCTCAGTTTTTTTCCGCCGAGGTCATGCTACTCATATATCTACTGTATGTACAGTATGGTACTCGTCTTGTGGTATATATATATATATATCTATGTATACGTGCGCTTGTTGCTTGCCTATGGTCCAGGTTTGCTTCACAGATCAAATGGCCATTAGTTACTGGGACCACCTCACCTCACACCCCCCCCCCTCATTCGCTGCTTCTACATGACAACGCCCTCAGCGGTCGTACTGCCCGACTCATTCCAAACAAAAAATGCAGCATGGCACACGAGCTGCTTTAATTGCATGGGGATGTGTGTGTGTGTGTGTGTGGTGTGTGCGCGCGGGCGCGAGGTGTTTATGAGTAAGGACATTCCTATACTGTACGTAGGCTGGAATTAATTTATTGTCTTCTATCTCACCCCCCCCGACAGTGTTAAATATCAACTCAGAAATTGTAACTTATTTTTCGTGCGTGTTCGTGTGAAAGTACTTTTGTGCGTCAGGGTGTGTGGGTACACGTGTGTGCATGTGCTGTCTGTCTGCATGTTTGTTGGGTTTTTTTGTTTTTTGTTTTTTTTTTTAGTTGTGTATCTTTCCATGGTCAGAGCTCTATATGATGAAATATGAAAAAAAAAAGCCGCTCTATATGATGAAATATTAAAAAAAACAAAAAAAACAAAACCCCAACAAAACCCTAACCCTAAACAAAACCCAAAACCTCTACCGTTAGTGTTTGAATTTTTGTAAGTTGTTCCTGTGTTGTAGTACTAGCCATAAGCACTCGGGCAAAGGACCCGAGGAGCACCTTCAGTATTCTCTAGCCTCCGTAACACATTTCACCTCGTCATAGATGTCCAACTCTGCTGCCTGTGTCTCAGTGGTCAAATCCAGACCCATGCAGCCTTATGCTCTGACATGGACGTTGACCGCTAAGATGGATCTTGTCTTCTTGGATTTTTGACGTGGTGTGGCAAATCACCATCGTGTTTCCATCTAGCTTTTTTTCTCAGGTCTCAAACACCCGACACTGCCCGCCTCCCAATCGCCATGTTTTCCATCCGCACTTCTCCTTTATTCCTCAACTAAATAAAGAAAAAACAAAACATAAAAGATCAGACAGTCAGCCAGCATGTGCATCTGAGTGTAAGGTGTTGTCAGTGTTCAAGTACTTCTCCGTCAGGTTGTTATCGTGTACGTGGACTCAAACTGT